AATTTTTATTTCGGTTAAAGTCGATTAATCATAAATTTCAGTTGAATTCGATCGGTTAATTAAGTTTTTATTTTCTCTAACTTCGGTTCGGTTAAAAAATTAATTCAGTCAAATTCGGTTAACTAAAAAAAATTTGATTAATTTATTTCGGTTAAAAATTTACCTGAACTGACCGAATGATCACCACTAAATTATACTTTTTCGGCTTACCTTCTTTTAATTTTTTAGTTCAAAGACATTTATAAATCTAAATGATCTTTAATAACTTAATACAATGAATAGTTTTTAGTTCAGATATTTCTTTTGTATTAATAATGATGTGGTAGTGGTGGTAAAGTGGTGTTTGATGTGGTGGTAAAGTGGTGTTTGATGTGGTGGTGGTGGTGGAGTGGTGGTTGTAGTGGTGGAGATGGTGGTGGTGGTGGTGGAGCAGTGGCGGTGGTGGTAGAGTGATGGTGATGGTGTAATTGGTGGTGGTGGCGGCAGTATTATTAGTGGTGGTAGTGTTTTAATTACATTACATTATATATCAACAGACAAACATAAAAATGGAATGGTGATTACATTCTATAAATTTTATTAATTATATTACTAAACATAGTAATGAAATCTTAATTACATTCCATTCTATTACATTTTTCATTGCGTTACATCTTTAATTACATTACATTGCATTACATCCAACCAAACATAGTCATAATTTCTTTTAATACAAAGTAGTAAAATCTTCCATTCAAAAAAAAGAAAGATAATAAAATCTTAGGTACACGGTACATATTGCTTCCATGAAAATATTTACAAAAATTAAAACTAGAAAAATAAAATATATATAATTAGGTAGCTAGAGTAGGAAGAATTCCTAATTACATGAAAATTATTTATGGCTCCTAATATCTGTTGTTTCTTGCTAGTCAAGGAAAATGGGTTGATTTATCTAAAATCTTATGAATTGTTTACTAAATTATTAAAATTTTAAAATTGATTTTGGTTTTTTGATTATGATGGTGAAAAAAGACAATTGATTTTCGTTTGATAAAAATTATAAAATTTTAAAGGACATTCATCAAGACTATTTATGCATAGCTGTGAATATGATCAAACTCTTGAATAATTTTGCTATCAAATAAGAATTGGGAAATAGAAAATTTCTTTGAGTATAATGCATTGAAAATGTATATAATATAATTTATATGTTCACTTTCTTTCAATAGTTGTATTTACTATTTATATATAATGAAGCTGTGAATCCATGATCAAAACTCGTTGAATATTTTTGCTAATCAAATAAGAATTGGGAATAATAGAAAACTTTCTTTGAGCGTATTAATGCATTGAAAATTGTATAGTAATATAATTTGAATGTTCACCTGTCTTTCATTAGTTGTCATTTTACTATTCGTATATATATATATATAGATATGATGGTGGATTTATATTGCTCTAAAATATATTATATATTTATAAAAAAATGTATATTCACAGTAGTTTGCCTTAATTAAGTTGAAAGAGAAATATTGCATGTATTGAATATATATATGTAGGTTGGATTTATATGCTCTAAAATATATTATATTATTTATAAAAATGTATATTCACAGTAGTTTGCCTTAATTAATTGAAAGAGAAATATGCATGTATTGAATACCAAAAAATAAAAATGCAAAAATAAAACTTGCCAAATGATATTTTTGTAAGTAAAACAAGGATATGTTTAAAAGCTTAATAGTTATTATGCAAATTTTAACTTAGTTAGGAATATTTTAACTCCATTATGCAAATTTAACACATATTTTATAAAATTAGTAAAGTTAAAATATCATAAAATATAAGATATTCAAGTTGACTCAAATCGGGCTGTGCAGCTTAACTTTTAGCAGCCCAAGTTTGGGTTTATGAACCTCAGCCAGCCCAAAACAATTTTGGGTTTTCGGATGGTCCAATGCAATTTACAGTCTAAGCAAGGGTAAGGCCAGACAAAGCTCTATCCACTGGGTTTCATATAAATTGTATATTTTTTATTTTCAATTTCAAACATATAAATTCAAATATGAAAACTTCATAGGCTAAAAATATATATATCAAAAAATCAAAATCTAATATGATAAAAGGTTTGCTTTTTATTATTTTTTATTTGTTTTCAGTTTTTTAGGTCAAGGATTGTATGGATGGTTTCATCTACGAAAAATTGGTTACAGAACACAGAAAACAGAGACACAAAGACAGGACTATGCAAGTAGCAGAAGGAAAGGGACAATGGCTAAGTCCAAAACCTGAAATGAGATTGCAATGCGCATTGAACACAGTAGAAAAGACACTTACCCTACATGCCTATTGATGAGCAGAGAAAGAGAGAAGCCCATCCTTACCTTTGGCTTATCTAGTGGGATATATCAGGAACTTGTTTCTGCACTTAAAACTTGTATTGTATCAGTTCAGCTGGACCCTCAAAACCATCATATTAACCACTTCCACTTGGAGAAACTTTCCTCAATTATTGAGCTTCTTAGCCAATCCACCATTCACATCTTCACCAAGTGGTTTAAGCTTCTTCAATTTTATCGTGCACTAATTTGTTGGTTTGGTAACACTAGATTTGTTTATCTAATTATAACATAGAGAGCTCATCAGACCATGATGCAATTGCTGGGAGATTGTTTACTTCATTAGTTGATTGTTTAAATCTTCATTAATTAAAGCCTACTTTAAGCTCAAACATATTAATTAGGAGATTCTAATACAGTACAAAAAAATTGGGAAAGGCTTATCTATACCCTACGTTACGACACATGGGTGTACTTATACACCAAACCAATGAAGAAGAGGGGGAATTAGGAGTGGCTCTCACCCCTCAGCAAAAAAATTTTTTAAATGCACCTCGAAATTTTTAAAAATTTTCAATGTTATCCATTGAAATTGTGTAATTTTTTTTAGACCTTTCTAACTTTTGAAAAAAATTGTCCGTCCCCTTTGTCTTTAATTTTGGCTCAACCATTGAACCAAACCAATTACACACGTTATTTTGGTCCAGACGATGTTATTCTGATTATATATCGGGAATGGAGGAAAAGACAATAATATTTTTTAAAAAACTTTTTTTTAATTGGCTTGGTGTGCAAGACGGACTGCAGACAAGAAGTTTTCTAAAAAAATTACCTCATCTAACATGCTAACACTAAAACTTGTTAGTTTGATATCCAAAACCAATTTGCTAATATATAAGTTTGTAGTGAAAATTGAATCTAGTACGGGTCACTTTATGGTCTAGAAAATGTATTCTTATATCAATAGTTTATGTCATCACTCGTTATTGTCTCCCATAAATCAGCGGTCAGCAAAATTATTATTATTATTATTATTATTATTGCAATAATAACCAGACACAGTACGTTTTGCAGCATCGTAATCATTCTTTACACACCATTTTGCATAAAAAGGAAACTCCATTTACATGAAAGTTGACTTCCAAAAACACACTCTACAAATTTATATAAATATCTCACTCGTTCATTACCCAAAGTGTATGATTTTGTCACGTCCCTTATTCCTTGGTATCATTATGTTTCCTTTTGTCATTGGATTGTTGGTTATACGAACCTAACAATCTTCATTCCACTCCACCAATAGCAATCTGCCACTTTCTATATTGCCATTTGTAACTAAATTGAACCCACAACCATTATCTTCATTCCTCACTTTCCTAGAAGCCCACTCCCTGCATAGTCCCATCTTCGTGGATTCTGGGAAGAATTTGGGCTATATTTCGCAAAATTAATTATTTTGATAGCTATTAGTTGTTTTAATAACTTTTAACTGTTTGAGTAATCATTTAAGTAGTTTTTCATATAATGCTAAATCCTAAATCTTATAGGGGTTAATAAACGCTACCTTAACTTTTATTTCAAATGTTATATTATCGAATATTATAAATAAAAAATAGTATTTAGCATAGTCAAAACGCTAAAAACTATTTAAGAAGATATTGTCGAACACAACCTTAATGTAAGACGTCTTTTCATTGTTTTAAAAAAATAATTATTTTCATGACTCAAATTTATAATATAAAGCTATAAATAAAATAATTTTACTCTTACATGAAAATTGAAATAACTCTATTTAATGCCTTTGCATATTGTTTATTTGAATATCATACAGTTAAATATGGTAAGTACTGAATAAAATATAACTTTTTGGTCTTTTTTTTCACTAATTTATTTCTTGATTTTTTTTTATTACATTCCTATGTCCAATTATAACGATCACACAAACACAATGCATTACACAGCTACTTTTTTTCTTTTGAGTATTGGGGCGAGTAGATTCAAATCTCAAATTATTGTCAGATCGTATATACATTTATCACTAAGTTATGTCTTAATTACATAGCACTAACCACTGGATCATGCTTTAATTACACAATAATTTTCCGTTAGAGCAAATATGTAATCCATGATATTTATGCTTTTGATATTTTTATTTGAAATTCGACCTATCAGCACTTGCAATAGCGATAAATGATAATCCATATGTTGGCCCATTTTCCATCTACTTGTAGCCCTACCGATTGTTAAAAAGTTAAATAATAGAGAAAATGTCGAGCTTGAAAATGGACATGACACTTCAACAATTTACAACAAGAACCAAAATTGAATAACAGACATGTGTATGTCTGTGTGTGTATATATATGGACATGACACTTCAACAATTTACAACAAGAACCAAACTTGATAACAGACATGTGTATGTCTGCTGAGTTGCTAGTATTAAATAATATTGATAAATGCTTCATATAAATATATAATGTATAATAAATGGTAGATTAAGAAACATATATATATATGTATGTATATTAAAACAATAAACAAATATTATATTCACCCAAATTCCAGCGATGCTAAAGTAATTACTATGGTTTAAATACATAGTAAAAGAATTCACCATTATACATTTGTACTTCTGTTTGTTACTCATCAATCGGGGAACAGATTATATATATAATAAATGGAATAACAGATATATATATGTATGTATATTAAACAAATAAACAATAATTACAAATCAGAGCAAAGTAAATACATGGAATAACAGAGGATCACTTTACATGTACTCTTGTAACTACACGGGCACATAAATGGAGTGAAAGAATAAGCAAAGACCAGCTGAGCTTCAATCTAAGCTATACCCAAAAGCTACAAGCTGATCCCTCAAAACGTCTCACTCTAAAGGGCATTAATCCAAAATAATAAACATAACCACTTCAACAGAGGAGCTCCGGGGACATATCTGCAAGCAATCCCTCTGGCAATCTCCTCCAGTAAAACTAAACATACAGTAATGTAATCAAATTTGCACTAGCAATGCGCTTTGATTACATTATATTAGCGGCTCAACTACCTCATCACCTACCCATAAGGCAGTTGAGCTAGGCTTGCTTCTCCAAATCCTTAGCAGTAATAAAAGTGCCATGAAAACCATAAGGAACTCGAGAAGGAAGCTTAACTGTTGCTTCTAGCTGCAAATTCTTGGCATTCACAATTTGTAGCTCTGATTTCCACTCTTTCTCATCATGCACAAAACATAAAATAAACCCATCATCTTCTTTTCCCGAATTAGAATCAGGAAGAAACAGAGGCTCCCCTCCATATTTATTGTCTCCATAGATATACTTCTTTGTCTCTCCAGTTGAGAGATCAACTTTGGCAAATCCAGACACTTTTGGCCATGGCTCTGCAAGAGCTAGATAAGCGAACTGGGTTTTTCTTCCCAGAAGATTCCTGTTTACCATGCCTGCTTCTAAGTTTACTTGATGTTTATCAGAAATGATAGGCCTGCGAATGGACTTCCCAGTTTTCAAATTTAGCCTTATTTCTGATAAAACACTCTTTAAACTCTCATCACATTCGTTGAAAATGGAATCTGGAGGAGTCATACAAGATCCAATCACCACAATCTCATCACTCTCTGGCTCTTCCCATGCATTCCAAAGATGGAAACAGAAGCAATCAGGTGCTTCTATCCACCTAATCTTTGAAGAGTCATTTGCTTTCTTGTCAAGAATACCAAATCTTGATATCTTATTCTCGTCGTAGATTACTGGAGAGCCACCGCGAATCATTTCTGGTAACTTGAAGACCAATTGTTGATCAGGAATAACAACAAATTTCTCAGTAATGGCAAAATCATGGATCATTGTTGGCTCATCAAGAGAGATTTCAACATCTTTAGACTTGGTACCGATTGGGGAAAATCTGAAATACTTCAGATATGGTTTTTGTACAACATCATAACTAAGAGCAAACAATTCACCAGAAAATGGGTCAACTTTTGGATGAGCAATCATTGTACTCTTTAGTTGGCCATTGAAATTGTAACGCCCAACAGTTTTCAGGTCTCCACAAGGAAGAACACGGACATGGTAAGGCAAATCATCTTCTGACATAGCTAGAAGACGACCATTAAAGTAAACTAACCCGGCGTTGGCAACACCAAGTCCATGGCTCGGGTCAACAATATCAAAAATACCACGGGCATAAAAAAGCAATAGCCTAGCAATTCCAGAATGCCCATGGAGCTCACCTATGGCCTTTGGGAAAATTGGACGTCCCAATTTTCGCTCTTGAACCAAACGGTTTGTCTCCGTAAACCGGCAAGCATAGCTTACTGAACCCTCTTCGAACCGGACAGCATGGACCATGCCGTCGCCATCGAAGAAGTGGTGACCAGTCACCGGTTCGTGAAGTGGGTTTGCGCCGTTGCGTAGATAGACACCTCGAATGCTATCTGGGATTTTACCGGTGACCGGTAAATCGCGTACAACAGGTTGTTCCGGCACGGGAGCGAAGTTACCGGAAATTTGAACAGTTGGGTCCGCTGTTTTAGGAAGAGGGTATTTACGTTCGTGTGAAACCAAAACATTTTCCACTTTATCTAACACCATGGAAGCAGCTTTCTGTAAAAGATTCCATTCTGGCGGTACTGATATATCAGTAGAAGAGGATTTGTTTATTGGATTTGATGTAGTGGAAGTGGAAATAGCAGAAGATGGTGGGTAAGTAGCAGTTCTAGTGGATTGTTTAGGGAAATGGAGAATGGAAGGAGTTTGGAGAGAGCAAGTGACGTTGGGCTTTCTGCTAGGCCTACCAATAGATATGGAGGAGCCCATGGTAATAGCTGGTGGTGCGGTTGATGCCATAATTGAGTTTTTTAGTATGGTTAAGAAGACTGTTGAAAGGTATTTGTGTATACTCGTTGAAGTTCAAAAATATGGTTTGTTTTAGAAGAGCAGGTGAATGGAGTTGAGTGACCTGAGGAAGAAGGGAGTAAGAGGAGGGATTTATATAGAGAGGGAAAAGAAGGAAGGAAGGTCCAGCTCAAAGATGTGAGAGAATAACACGTGTTGCATTATAAAGAAAGAAGAGAGAGTCAAAAACAAAATAATAAGTGATATAAACGAGGAGGAGAGGCTAGCCGGGCCATAAGTGCTTGATTCTTTGACACGACCACCCTTCCCTTAAGTTTTCCCTTCTTTCTACTCTCCTTTTTCCTTTAATAAAATAACAATTAACAAACAGAGCCTTAATACTTTAATGTATGGTTATACTATTTTTGTATATGAAAGAGCATATATATTTTGTCTTCGTGGCAAATCAAAGAAAGGGAAAGTTCTTTAATTATTAATGTTCATGATAATTAGATAAGGAAGATGGTGTTCTATCTTGTTAGTAAGTGTTTTCACATTAGAGTCAAATCAAAAATTAAGTCTCGTCTTTTTGTATTGAGATAAAATTTGCGTATATTTATACATGTGATCCATTCATAAATCAATCAATCTACAAAAGGTTTATTTTTGAAAAAACATTCTGACTTTATCCTTTTTCTCCAAGTGTAAAATATAATAGTATTCTTAAATTATAATAAATTAATACCTAAGTCTCTTTATATTTGAGTAAATTCAAACAATAAGTATAGACAAATCTTATATGTGCGCTCAAATATATATACAGTTATTTATCATTTGAAACTCGTGCTACAATAAATCATTAAATATGTATTATAGTTTAATCAACCAAGATAATTAAGCCAATGCATAAATTTAAATCTATAAGGTCTACTGACACAAAAAAAAAAAAAAAAAAAAAAAAAAAAAAAATTAAGCCAATATGCATAAATTTAAATCTATAAAGGTCTACTGAACACAAAAAAAAAAAAAAAAAAAAAAAAAAAAAAAAAAAAAACCTCAATTTTGAAATTCTAGCCAATTCTTTCAGTTTTATCCATCAATACACAAATTTATTTATTCATTTCAAATCTTGTATGTATTTGTTCTGTTAGATTGTTGTGTTAATGTGGAAGTTAAGTATGATATGATATGTGGATCTCATGAGAAAACACTAGTCCACGTAAAATAAAAAAATATATATAATTTTTTATTTAATTTCAAAGAAAAATTATTCAATTTTCTATACTTCAAATTTTAAAAAATTAAATTTTAAATTATTATAATTATTTAATTTTAAAAATAGAAAAGTATTATTTATATATTATTTATATGAATATAATCAATAATAAATATGAACTCTTTTAATTTTTTTAAATTTGAGTTCAAATTAAATATAGAGTAATTATTAATTTTTATTAACTTTACAATCTCAAATTTTTAATTAAATTAAAATACATAATAACTATTATTTATAATTAAAATTTATAAATTAAAAAAATAAATTTTATAAAATATAAAATTCAAAAAATTGATTTAAGCTTTTAGGTGAAAATTGCGAAAACCAAATTGAATCGAACAGAAAATATAAACGTTGAAACTCTCATGGTAAAAAACTTAGGATTTTAATAGTACTTTTCACTTTTGAAAATTGTCAAATTTTATTAAATTTTTTTTATTAGAAGAAAAGTATTACATTTATAAGATTTTAAAATAATAATTCTAAGATTTCCATTTTACATTTTAAGATTTTTAAGTGCATAAAATTAATAATTTTTAATTCTACGTGAACTGGTGATTTAATACTGATCAGGCATTTCGCAAGGCCTACAATTTAAATTTAATCGTTATGTCAGTACCGATTTAGCGAAATGCAGACAAATGATAGATTTGATAAAAAAAAAAAAAAATTATAGTATTGATTGATAAAATTAAAAGAAGAATTGGCTATAATTGATAAAAAAAATTAAAATTCAAAATTATTTTTACCATTTGGCCTCCCTATAATTATCATAAATTTTGTGGCACTTATTTTGATTTATTGAACATTTTAACAATTCAACTTATACAATTGCACATACTAAACACTTGAATTTGCAACATCATTTTATTGAACATTTTAACTTGCAAAATTATACTCCCCCATCCTGAAAAAATAATCTCACTTCTTTTCACACAGATTAAGAATGTATAGTTAAATTAGTTCAACCATAACATTTATCCTTCTTTTTTTCATATATACCCAAGGGCGGAGCCAAAATTCAAAATTAGAGGGAACCAGAAGAAAATTTTCAAAATTAAGGGAGCAAAATAAAAAAAAAAAAAAATTGCACGTTTTATGAGTGAATTTTTAAATTGTTTTTTGAGTTTGGCGCCGGCCTCCCCCAGTCCCCCTCCCTCTACCCCTTATACCCCTATATTAATAATTTGTTGATTAAATTTTAAAATTATTTATTGAGTTTTTCAATAAAAAATTAATGTGTTGGTACATGTTTCAATTACTTTATATTACTTTCTATTTATATCTTACTGAATATTTAGTAATTCTATGTATATTAATTATTGGCACAAATTGTATTACGAGAGTATTAAAGGAAAGTTAACAAAAAGGTCATCTCCAAAAAATGGAAATGAGATATTATTTTGGGACCTGTTATGGAAAGTGGGATTGTTTTTTTTGAACGGAAGGAGTATTAGTTATATATTTATTAGATAGTCAAAAAATATGAAAATTATTATTCCAAAAGTCGTGCTAACCACACATCGTACTAATGTTTTATATATGAAACCAAAAATCATAAAACTATTTTTAATTCATTAGGAGATCTCATGGCTATAATAATGTTTCAAGTGACACATCATGCTAATGTAGTACTCTCCTAAGTCACCAAGTTGATAGAAATTCTTATGATCGAAAGGACTCAAACTTAAAAACTTTCACTTCTCAAGTATTATCAATATTTGTAATTTTAGGGTGAATGGGTCTCCTACAAAATATAGAGTGCTATAAATTTATTATCAATAAGTACATGTGTGAATATAGGTATTTAGCCTAAGATTATTAATGGCCTAATGACTAAAAAAAAAAAAAATTGAACTTTGATATTTTAATAATTTTACGACAAATTAATTTTTTCTTAATAATTGTGGTTTCCATCCATCAATGGTATTACTTTGTTGATGTGGCTATTAGTGGAACCCTCGCAATGACATGTCACTTGCTGGTTATAAATTTACAAGGTATAATTGGTAAAAGCTAAAGTTCAAGGTTTTGTTTTTTAGTCATTAAGTCAAAGTTTGTTAGTTTATCAATTTTAGTCAAGATTATTACATACACATCGAGGCATAGCCTATTAATAAACGTATATATAACTTGGCAATAGATCTAGATTTTTTTTATTAACATTAATTTCTAATATTTATATAATTTATTTATCAATAAATAATTTTATAATTTATAATATTCAAGTTTAAATTAATAAATATAGTTAAATATTTTATAAATTTTAATCATAATATTTTTTATTTTAAATGATATATTATAATAATTAATGACAAAAACAATCAATGTTATACTAAATAAATATTTCATTTTAATAAGAATTAATTGAAAACACTAATTATATGACACAGGAAGAAAAAAAATTTGAAAAGGAGATTATAACTTGAAAATTCAAAAGGCGAAAAACTTTATCATTAAAATATAATAAATTTCAATAACGAAAATTAATAAAAATTTACATTCATATATAAATTTCTCAAGAAAGATTAGGGTAAAGGTATTTGATGTTATCCTTCTATAGAAAATGACAAGTTTAAATAAGACAATAATATCGTTGAAGAAATTCCTATAAATAATACTAACACTTTTGGAATTAAAATGGTTTTACGATTGATTAATTATACAACATTTGATTTTCCATCTCTTACTATGTTGATAATTTTATTGAATTTTTATATCTTCTTTAATATTTAATTATTATAATATGAGTGTTGACAATTTCGAACAACTAAAAAAAATATCACTTTTTCCTTAAATTGACTAAAAAAAATCCTGAATTTTGGCATTTTTAACAATTTTGGCTGATTCTTTTAAAAATTATTCCTTGCAAATTTACAGTTAGTAAGTGACATGCCATGTCGATAGTCTCACTAACAGTCACATCAGTATAATAGTAAAGGTTAATGGACGAAGACCACAATTATTAAGAAAAAATTATTTCACGGTATCAATTATAATAATTAAAAGGATTGGCAAAAATTGTTAAAAAGGCAAAATTTCAGTTTTTTTTAGTCATTAGGCCATTATTAATTAATATTCTTATGACCCATTTAGACTCCAACGAATCAAAAAGCTTCATTAACCAAGATATTTCAAATATTTTTTCCTAATTAATTTACTTTGGTTTTTTTTTTTTTTTTTTTTTTTTTTTTTTAATCATTTCTTATGAACCATTTAGACTCCAACGAATCAAAAAGCTTCATTAACCAAGATATTTCAAATATTTTTTCCTATTAATTACTTTGGTTTTTTTTTTTTTTTTTTTTTTTTTTTTGGAGAACACTTAATATTTTTGTATAATTTTTTTTTTTTTTTTTTTTTTTTTTTTTGGAGAACACTAATATTTTTGTATAAAAGACACTTAAAAATATTTATACTTGATAGAAGTAAAATATTAATATTTAGAAACTACTTTTAGATGTAATGTGTCGTCTAATGTGATATGATACAAACATTTATAGTATATTTTCTATTGTAACTAAAGATGTAAATACCGAGCAAGAATCCTAGTCATAAATGTCGAGCGAGAATCTTGGACATTAATTTCATGGTTAAATGACTCTAAATGACTCTTTGACTGAGTGTTACCTTTATTTAAACTGGTTTGAATAACACTCGGTCCAATCTATTAATTGCTCGGCTCATTTTATTAATTGCTCCTATCAAAAGTCCCCTCCAAAATACACCGAATCATTTATATTTAGTTGAAATTTTTAACATGCTTGTTCATTCCATTTAGTACTGTCAAAATGAGTTGTCCGGCTGGCACAACCCACGCGAACTCGAGCCCAAAACGGGCTAAGCCAAAAAAGCTCGTCACAAAA